ATTTATTTTTTCCAGATGAGGAGTATAATCCGTACTCATATTTAGCAGTGACAAGCCAAGGGGAAACAAGGGGAAAAAGAGATGGTTGTTGCTTTTTTTTTTTTTTTTTTTTGAAAACTACTGTTTGTATCTTGTGCTGATAGCAAGCCTTAAGTTATTTCCTTTGCCATCTGCACACTGTAATTATCCTTCCCTCCTACAATATTTTCCACGTTTTTTTCTCCTTCCTTTCCCACCCCTAATACCATAATATACAAAATCTCTTCCAGAGTTAGCATTTCAGGTTTTTCATCTCCCATATTTAGGCAGAGCTGATCGTATTATGTGTAAACGATTTCAATTTGTCATGGCACTTCTTCTTTCTTTTTTTGGTTTTGCACACATATGCAGACACGTATTATATGTTTAATTTTTATTTGAAATTTCATGAAACCTAGTCAATACCAAGTGTTTACAGAAGATCTTAGTATCTTATTCCCTAATAACAGAATTAATTCTATTATAAAAATATAGAAGTAAATCTAACAACATTATAAAATAAAATCACAACAACACGGTGATAGTAAATGTACTACAAATATAAGAGTATTAGGATGCCTGAGGTTTTATTTTTTGATTCTGTGGAATATTTTTGCTTATAGAAATTTTATGGTGTCAGCTGAGCTGTTCAGTTCCTTCTCTCTTCCTTCCATTTTGATAAACTTAACCATTTGGTGTAAGTAACCTTTTCATTGTAACATTTTTTTTTTTTTGCATTTCTTAAAAAAAAAAATCCAAAGCATATCACTAGTGCAGTTATTCCATATATTCCTAACAATTGCAGTAATGGCTATAGCTAGTAATCTGAAACTGAATGTATATATGTAATGGATCGTGAAACAGAACATTGTGACTTTCTATAAACAAAAGTAATTCTGCAAACAGGAAAATGAAGCAAGTAATTTTGACTTATATTGAAAAAAAAATTTTTTATATTGCATGGTTTCATTGTCTTCCTGGGCATTCAAACCCAGATGCTCAAAGGTACCATGTTATGCATAGCAATGGTTTCATCTGCCTTTAGATATCCACTAACAAACTAGTCACCTTAGCCTATAGAAAAGACAGTTGCTAAGGTATGAGTCATCAGATGTTTCCTTTAGGATGAGATGACCTTGCCTTAGTGTCTGTCTGAGATTATTAGCTTGGATAGAAATCTTTGCATTGAGAAACTGTCCACATCTACATAAGGACAAGTTTGTTCCTGATGTAGAAATCTAACTATTTTTGAGATTCTGAACCTTACTCCCTCTGCACCTCACTGAGATGTTAGTATAAGTGCATCCAAGAAAGACTGGGGGGAGGGGGCATCCTTCAATAGGGAAAGGTACAAAAATATTAAATGTCAATTATCCTGGTGTTTTAAACTAGTTTGCTTTGAAATATTATTTTACATTTATACATATATAGAGAGAGATCTTATCCATGCAATACTTTTATGTACACACAGCTGAATTAGCAAATATACAGTTTTAGCTTAATAACAGAAATAAGTTGTGTGCTTTATGTTGTTAAAATGAAATGTGGAAGACAATGAGAGATATTTTGATCTTTTCTTATGCTTGTCAGTTCACAAGAATTCTTTTGATATGATAATTGGATTGATGCATACTTCTGCATCTGATATGTATAATTTATATTGGTTTGTTTTTACTAATTGGTTTCTGATTCTTTTTGATTTATTACTATTACTATTACTATTATTATTATTTAATATAATTTAAATCATTACTGACACACAGCATTTACATAAACCAATATTTGCAAATTACTCTGAAAACTGAGCTCATTGTTTGGCAATTGATTACATGTTTTTTATCTTCTGTTGCTCAGTTTTCCCATTCTGTTTTACCCAGCTATGATTTCCTATTGCTACTTCCATAAGTTCTCCTCAGAGAAGGATTTTTTTTTTCCTACTATTAATTTTTCACATAGTCATAAAAACTAAGCATTTACAAATCACTATCATCAGTTTCTCTTATTTTTATGCTGTTTCCGTCTTCATATACTTTAGTTACTGCATTTCTGCTTTCTTTTCCCCTCGCATTGGTGTATAAAAACATTCTAGGGATGAAAGCACTCATGGTACTCCAGAATGGAATGGAATCAGAAATCATGTCTGATCACCTCCATATTATTTTACTGAATATTTGAAGTTCAGTGGAACTTACAGTGTTAATTACACAACATGAAGGAGTTCACCCTTAATTTTGGATCATATTCTCTTCAGATGTTATTAACTGAATAACAGACAAAATTTGCCTTTTTATTAGCCAAACACTATTTTGAATTTTCCCAGAAGACTAGCGATGTTCATTTTGATGTTCACTAGTGATGTTCATTAACAATGTTCATTTTCAAATATCCATCTAGGGATGGATATTGCCTTAATTTATGACTGCAACTGAGATATCAACATCTTACTATTTTACAAGTCTTTGTTGTTATATGAAATACCGCTGAGCTATGATATGTAATAAAATTATTTCATGTTAGTGTTTAAAGAATTTTCAATAATACATTAAACCTTCATTCAGATTTTTCAAATTTTCTGTTTTTTTTTTTTTTTTTTTTTTTTCCTCAAATTCTGTTCTATTCACGGTCATTCCTCCCTGTGCTAAATTGATAACTTGATAGAGAACATCACTTCCAAAGCCTGAGGTGACATTTTTAGACAGTATTTAAGAGAAAGCAGACCTTTTTTTTTTTTTTTTCCTTGCAGATTGCAGATGTGGGTTTGCGGTTTTTATTTGTTTGTTTGTTTGTTTGTTTCTCAATCTGATAAAAGCATAAAATGATATGGAATAGGTGAGTTGACTATCTATTCTAGTATCAGACAATTGCAAATATTACATATATCAAAGAGTAAATTTTCCATTCTCCAGAATTTTCCACCTGAAAAGACAGAAAAATGTTTTGGTCTTCACTTCATTCCCTAAATAGAGGATATTTTTATAGATTTTTAATTACTTTTGATTAGCTGTCATAATGCTTCAGAATAAATGATTACAAATATAATTAAAAAAAAAATATTCAGTGACACTGCATCTTAAAACTAACACTTCAGAAAACAAGGGCTTGTTTATTTACCTTGTTATTCTTGAAAAGAGAATGAAGTACAGCTGCTTTTGATGTCCTTTCCTTCTTCTTTTCCCATGTGGTTGGACCTGGCACAGAATCCTTTGGTCTGGGTTCTGCAAAAGAATCTGTATTTCCGTTAAGTGTATTTTTTTCTTGAACTCTTTCCCGGTATGACAGGAAGTGATTATTATTAATATAAAGAAAAGGAGTATAAAAAGAAGAGAGAAGAGTTGACTTTTAAGGATCTTATTAAGGATCTATAAGGATCTTAATTTAAAATTAATATAATTAATTAATTAAAAGATCTATTTAAGGATCTTAAATCAGAGCAAAGAAAACTTTATTTTGAAGGAAATTACCAAATCAGTGTTACTACAGTTAATGACAGCATCAAAGAGGTAATAAAACCTTGTATTCCCAGATTTGAAGTGATCTGTATCTTCTAGAGATTAGGATGACATTTGAACAACTTCGTGTCTGTTCTCTAGATATATTCTATGGGCCACAATCAGTAACCAGATATTGGGTTAAAATGCACTTTTGATTCTACAGTTTTTATGAAACTTTGTAGAAAAGTAGAGTCAGATATTTAAAATCATGTTAGTGAATGAGACTAAGATCTGTAACTTTGTTGTGGAATGGGCTGAAATTGTGATGTTTCTTGGAGTGGTTTCTGCAGTAGAAAGTCTGATTGTAATGGCTATTTTTTATCATTATTATTTATTAAAAAACAATATTCTATTTTAAATGAAAATATTCAATTAGGATGTATGGAACTCCATGTTAACTTGTCTGGACAGTGAAACAGCTGGGTCAAGGAACATTTTTCAACATAAGTGCTTAAGACAGAATTTCTTCCTCTACAGATCCCTTCTTATAACAACATTAGTGTAACAAAAATTTATGCATGCAACAAAAACAGCAATGACAATTCTTCTTTCACTATATTACACCCCATCCAGACTTGCCACCTTTTTATAGAAATTTTCCATATCAGTCTTGGACTCATGGTACTTAATACTGCATACTCAACAATTAAGTGATTTAGGTAATTTAAGTGATTTAAGTGATCAGTGTCTGATAACCAATAGAATAAACACTGCTGAAACACTGTCCTGGTCTACAATGGGTGGAATAAGTTTTTGCTTCTCACCTACAAAAAGATGCAATTTATTTTTTTCCTCACTCTGGACTAAAGAAACAACTTGGTCAGGGTGATATTTTGTCACAGGTGCCTATTCAGTTAATTTCACACTTGATGAGCATTGATTTGTATGTGCATACTAATACCTGTGGCAAGCATTGTATCAGAACTTTTGTCAGGAAGCACTGGGACCCAATATCACTGTATTTTTCAAAGATTGTTCTAATTGTTTGGTGTTTTGCATTAAAAAGGAACAAATTTTTTTCCCTGTAAGTCACATTTTACATGCTATTGATCTGTCACATCTGTTTCAAGAGTTGTGTTATTTAATATATAAATACATTAATAACAAAAGGAGGACTAATAAGAATCTCCTTCATTCATTGTATGTGGGGGGAAACATAGTGAGAAAGGATGAGGAAAGACTGAGGTACTTAATGCCTTCTTTACCTCAGTCTTTGGTAGTAAGACCAGTTGTTCTCCAGGTGTCCAGACCCTGAGCTGGAAGATAGGGACAGGGAGCAGAATGAAGTCCCCATAATCCAGGAAGAAATGGTTAATGACCTGCTACACTAATTAGATACATGCAGGTCTATGGGGTCAGAAGGGATCCACCTGAGGGTACTGAGGGAGATGGCAGAAGGGTTCACCAAGCTACTTTGCATCATTTATTAGCAGTCCTGGCCATCTGGGGAGGTCCCAATTACTGGAGGCTAGAAAATGTGATATTCATCTACAAAAAGGGCCAGAAGGAACTACAGGCCTGTCAGTCTGACTTCAGTGCCGAGGAAGGTTATGGAGCAAATCACTTTGAGTGACATCACGTGGCACACACGGGACAACCAGGTGATCAGGAATGGGTATATGAAAGGCAGGTCCTGCCTGATGAACCTGATCTCCACCTGTGACAAGATGACCCTCTTAGTGGATTAGGGAAAGGCTATCTACCCAGACTAGCAAAGCTTTTTACATACTAATGTAAATATTTGTAAATAGTAATGTATTGTAATGTAAATATAATGTAAAATTTCCCATAGTATTCTCCTGGAGAATGCTGCTTATGGTTTGGACAGGCATACACTTCATTGAATTAAAAACTGACTGGGTGGCTGAGCCCAAAGAGTTGTGGTGAATAGAGTTAAATCCAGTTGGTGGCTGGTCACAAGTGGTATTTCCCAGGGCTCAGTATTGGAGCCAGTTCTCTTCACTATATCTTTCCCTATAAGAAAGATATTGAGGAGTGTGTCCAAATGAAGCTGGTGAAGAGTCTAGAGAACAAGTCTTATGATGAGTGGCTGAGGGAGCTGGGTTTGTTTAGCCTAGAGAAAATGAGGCTCAGGGAGACCTTTTTGGTTGCTACAACTACCTCAAAGGAGGTTGTAGTGGGGTGAGGGTCAGTCTCTTCTCCCAAGCAACAAACAACAGGACAAGAAGAAATAGCCTCAAGTTGTGCCAGGGGAGGTTTATGTTGTATATTAGGAAATATTTCTTCAGTGAATGGGTTGTGAAACATTGGAACAGGCTGCCATCCCTTCAGGTATTTAATAGATTTGTAGATGTGGTGGCTCAGTGACTTTGTTTAGTATTAGAATTGGCAGTGGTAGGTTAATGTTTGGACTTGATCTTAGAGGTCTTTTCCAACCTAAATTGATTCTATGATTCTAACAATAACTGATTTCACATCAGCATTTTGTGTGGTTCTGACATGTAAGAATCCAGTCTTGTCATTGTATGTCTCTTCCTTTCATCTCATGCTGCTTTGAATGTTATGAATAGGCGAAACCAAATCCTTAAGGCAAGCTATATCTACAGTGTCAGACAAAGAATCATACCTGACCTTGGAGACACTCAGGACTTTCACTGCAGCAAGAAATGAAAGAATTTGCAGGAAGTAATAGAAATGTTCATTTCTTTCAGTTTAAAAACTACTGGAAATTGGTCCTATTATTATTCTCACTGCCTTCTCAGGCGTAAAACCTCAAAACCTGAAAATATAAGTATGAAACTTGATCACACAATAGTCCTCGTTATCTGTCATTTGTTGAATATGCATGGATAGATGTCTGATATTCTGGAAACCACTGGTACCAAATTCTCTCAGGTTGTCTATTCGTCTATTCTTCATGAATAGGTTGATGATATTATTCAGAAATTTAATTGTGGTCAATATTAAAAGACCTTTTTTTTTTTTTTTTTTTTTTTTTTAATCTGTTAAAGGAATCTTCAAAGCTTGAAAATTTCTTTTGAAATAAGTTCCTGTCTTGATTAATATTACAAATGCATTGAATTGTTTAGATACTGTTAATATTGAAAAGATGAGAAAACTTTAAAATCTAGTCCATTCAAAACACATTAGATTGTGATGGAACCATTTTCTTCATAGCAGCCTATATTGTGCTGTTTTAGATTAGTGACCAAAACAATATTGATAGCACCTCAGTGTTTTGTCTGTGGATGAAGAGTGCTTACACATCAGGATCTTCTCTACTTCTCACCCTGTCCTATTCTGCAAATAGTCTGGGAGTGAGCAAGAAGTTCGGAGAAGACACAGCTGGGACAGCTGACCCAAACTGACCAATGCTATACCTTGTAACGTCATGTTCAACACTGAAACAGAAAGACAGTTTTTCCAAAGTATCTGTTGCTTGAAGACTGTCTGAGCATTGGTCTGCTGGTGGTGAATGATTGCCTTTGCATTGATTGTTTTGCTTTGTTTCTTCACTTACTAAACTGTCTTTATCTCAACTCACAAGTTTTTTTCCTTGTTTTCTGTTGTTGCTGTTATTTTTGTTGTTGTTGTTGTTCACTTGTTTGTTTGCTTTTCCTTGGGTTTGCTCTTCCAATTTTCTCCCTCATCCTGGGGCAGGGGAGTGAATGACACCAACCCAAAGATAACCTTTTCATACATATTGGTGGAGAGGCTTTATCCCTTTGTGACCATCCCTTTGTGATCCAAAACCATTGTGCTTTTCATCTATGTAAAGAGTCTGATTTCTGTGAACTGTTAAACATGTCTTCAAACTCTGGGAAAGGCCTGTGTTTTCTTATTCTGTAGGCATACAGTATCCCTGTGACTTGAATTCAGACTTCCTCAGCGCTGAGTGACAGTTTTAACTCCTATGCACTGGGATAAAAGCACCACATCCAGTGACCCCCATATACAGGATACTGCCTAGAATGCTGGCTTCTGTCCTTCCAGATCTTCAATAGATGATTAAATAGATATCTCCTGGTACTTTGCTAATGGGAGATCAAATACAGCCATAGGTTTATTTTTTTTATTTTTATTTTTTTATACTGCACATGGTATCAGGCTACTATGTAACTACAAAAGTAGTCAAGGCTTCCACAAATTGGGTATTTATGCACCCTTGGCTTCCCTTCTTTGTCTTGATATTTTCTGGATATTCAAATTTTATTTCGTCTATGATTATGGCAAGACATGTTAATGTAAAAAAGTTTGTGTTGTGAATGAGCTTTCAAATGCAACACTTCAGTCTTCTGTGGTGCTAATATTAAAAACTCCAGTTAATGCTTCTGACAAGTGCCAATAAATGTAAGATTAGAAATTATTCTTTCAGATAAGAGAATTAGGATTTGATTCTGTAATGTTCTGAAGTCAGTAACTCTAACAATAAAAGGAGCATTTAGATTGATATTTGTACAAATGGTAATTTATTTGGCTCTATTGTTCACTTCTTCTTGGCCGCTTTGTTCTTATACTTAGAAATTATCTTACAGCTTTTCAATAAGAAAACGCCACAGAGAGAGAGAAATGCCAGTAATTCTATTTGTATTAAGGAGAACAAATAATGGGAAGGTGGCTTTTGTAGTACCATTAACTTTCTTCCTACTGTGGTTTGTAATATTAGCTTGCTTCACATTTCAGAAAAACAACAGAAATGTTGACAACTGGCAAAATCTGTTTTAGCCAGCACTGAATTCACTGACACATAAAAAAGGAAAATAATAATTCTAAGGGCACTACTTTAACTGAAAACTGCAAAGCAAATGAATGTCTGACATCTTTTAAAAACGTTGAAGAAGGAAGAGTTCATGAAGGTGATTCTTATGAAATAATTTTATTAAATACAATGGGATTTGAAAAACTTTTGCAGACTTCTAAATGGAATGGAATGGAATGGAATGGGTCAATTAGAAGGGACCTTCAACGATCATCTAGTCCAACTGCCAGACCTCTTCAGGGCTAAATGATTTTAAAGAAAATTAGAGAAAGATTCTTGTCATCCTGTTATGTGTGATGGTTAAAAATTATGACAAGTATCTAATTGTCTTAACAATTTTTATGTTTGTGAATCCCTTGGAATGAATATTTTTGTATTAATTTTGTATATATTCAGTTTATCATGTAAAACCAAGCTCACACTATACCCACTGAACTCTCTAGTGAGACACTGGTGACGCCATACCACTGCAGTACTACAGCTGCTTGGGGCCTGGTAGGGCTTAGCAGGCTGGGCCTGTCTCATTGGCCCACCAGGAACACATGGCAGCCCTGGGCTCCTCCCTAGGCCTGGTGATGAGGTCATGGGTGATCCTGGTGTGGAGGCTGTGGCTGGGCAGGGTAGGGCTGTGGAGAGCTGGAGCCCAGTCCTGCTGTGACCTTGCTGGGGCAGGGACTAGGGCTCAGGGCTGCCATGGGAGCCTTGGACTGGGCAAAGACAAGAGGGGCTGGTGTTGCCCTTTGGTGACAGTTGACAGGTGACAGTTGTAATATTTTTTTCTTGTTCTGAGGTCAGTTCTATATCAAATTGAGACTTGCTAATTTTCAGGTTTAACAAAAAGAAAGCAAGAGTGCTGGGAGAGAGAAGGATTTAGGGAATACTTACAGAGCACTGGTACCCTTGTTGTTATGGACTAGGCTGCTACTAAGGATCTTAAGCATGACTGCAGAGTTCCGGTTTGCATTTTCTATGCATTCAACAAAACTTTGGTTCATCCCCATGTTGATGCAGTTTATTGGCATATAGACAATGAGCATATAGACAATAGACAATGCGCCCCACTTTCCAGAAAAGTTCACACCTGTGACTCCCCAGTGAGAGTAACTTACACAGTGTAGAACTGTGGAAATCTGTCTGGGCAGAGAGTTAGAATCTTCTCATATATACATATACATATATATATATATATATATAATGTAAATACATAGATATTTGCTACTTAATATATATATGTATATAAACAATAATCATAGAAATGGGTGTAGGTGCACAGATGAGCATCATTGCCACCTTTGTACACCATTAGAAATTATTAACCTATATTAATACTAAATACTGGAAATTTTGTGAAGTTTGCAGCATATTAAGATAGCTCACATCTGTGTTTGTCTAACAGTTTTGAGGGAGAGAAGGATATTGTTCTGCCTTCTTTTGCTACTGACTCTGCTGCAATTCAAAAAATTAGAAGACAAATTCCTTATGCTGTCAGTACTGAATGGTAAAAGGTGCTTACAGATGGTAAGCACCTTCAAAGTACCTCAGTTAAATGTCCAGACGCTGCTCAGATAGGTGATGTGAATACTGCATGAGAGAGCACAACGCTTGATAGAACTCAGAGCTCTGCTTGTTTGTTCCCTCTGTATTATGAACTATGTACTATTCTTTGAGCAATTTTAGAATGCATGCAGAAGAGTACAGAAATGAAGATGATTTGTCTGTTGTACTCAATAACCTCCTACTATAGCAGGGAGAGCAGTATCACGGGACTAGCAGCAATAGTCTTAGACATGATACAGAAATACCGTAGTGGCTGCAGAGATGCACTATGGTCAGCAGATGAGCAAGCCAGAGATGCACTATGGTCAGCAGATGAGCAAGCCAGAGATAAGAAACCCTTCCAGCAGAACAGTTCTTATTCTTTTCTCTCCTCTTTGCTTTCTGTTATGTATATGAGTGTACATTTATGAGGCCCTGCTTCCCAAGACATGGCCAAACATCACTCATTGATGGGAAGTAGAGAATAATTGCTTTTTTCTATCTCTTTGCTTCCTCATGACCTTTGCTTATTTTCTTCCATTTAATTAAGTTACCCTCATCTTAGCCAATGAGCATTTTTCTTTCCAATCATACTTTCTTTCCCCCTATCTCCATTTGAGGAGAGGGAGTGGTGGAGTTTAGCTGTCATCAGTGTGAAACTACCGAAATAATCATTCAGTTAATGTATATTAAAACTGCTGAATTCAAAGATAAGCCCCTTTGCTGTTACCTCCTCAAATATAGAGTTCATGAATGTAATATGTATTCAGTTCTCAGCACATCATCTGTTTTGTTTTCTTTCTTTTCACTAAGGGTGCAAAGATGTTAAATATTGTTTGAGGCTGTATCAATTTCTTTAACATGTGGTGCCTTTTAGAGTCCACCTGACCTATATGTGGAACAGTTAAAAACTGGGTCATAATGCCTGGTAACAGACTATGATACTGAGAAATATTACATTCCCATGTGATAGAATTAATATTTGTGTCTCTTTTCCAGAATGACTATGAAGCTGTTCTGCCTATAGAACCATACTGAAGCAAGTATGAAAAGGAATTTACAGCAATTTTCTGAAATTGTTGTTGGGCTTGTTTTAAAATTTGATTGAAATTTCTGATCATCCTCAGATTTTAAGACTTTGGAATTATGACTTCATAGCTCTTTTTCTCTCTACTACAGTAACAAACAAAACTTCTGTATTAGTTAGCAGTGATTAATGGCAGACCTCTGAAATCCTAGGAATTTAATCATATTAAGGTTTCTTATTCCTAACATGAATGACATCCCATGGGTTGCAAATCTTGTAATGTGCTTATAATGCTCAGTTACCCTAGGAACACCAGCAAAGCTCATTTAGGATTTAAAATATACATAATACCAATCTTTTTTTTTTTTTTTTTCCCTGAAGTAATAATGCCTTCTCAGTCATTTGATAGAATCATTAATATACAGTAATATTTAAATTAACCAATACATTAACCTCTCTAAACCAATTAAGCTATTTTGCAATAATTCAAATAATTAGGTCGAGAACACAGTTTATTTATTCTTGAAATTAAAACTTGACACTATAAAGAAATGAGCAAGTGTTATTAAAAACTTTCAGCTGTGAACTAATCAGTGTTTAACTGGCTGTACAGCAGCAGTGCTATCCGCATTGCAATCTGTTACAGAACATGGTACAATAAAAAAAGTCACGTAAACATGAAATGCTACAGAGAACTGCAATTATGAAAGTTAAATCAGAGTCGTGCTATTCAAGAGAGCAATCTTTTAAAAGGCTATAATTCTAAGACACTACATATACCACAGCAAATGTCTTTGATCTGCATAAAACTAAAAAGTAAACATTTGGTTAGCAAATGGTTAAGAAGGTAATTGGGCTAGAGGGAACATCATTCTCCCCTCTGGATTTGTGTTTCAAGGATGAACCCTCTGTGGATTGCTTGACATATAATCAGGGCTAAATCCCCAAAGCAGACTTTTTCTCAGTGTGGGGCTTTCCTTTTTGGCTTGTTTGTTCACAAAAACCTAATACAAAATGGATGCCTTTCAGAGTTACCTTTCTGTGGATTTGTTGTAATTAGGCAGCATATTTGAGAGATCATATGATCAAACATACCATCACTTAAACTCTATTTTTAATTTGGTTTTAGGATCTATATCCATATATAATGTGGGTTCTATTTGCTTGAAACTGGAATATACTGAATGAGATACTTTTTTAAGAAGTCCAAGAAGCTCAAACCAGCAAATTTTGTTTTATTCTTGGATTTAAATCTGTAATTTATGATGGATATTTTGTCATATCATTCACTCTTTTTGTACTTCAGCAGGCTTAATTTGAAAAATTTGAATTTGAAAGGTAATTTTGCAATTACCTTTCAATTTGCAATTACCTTGCAAATTACCTTGCAATTTGAAAAATTTTGTTCTTATATTCTACAGAGAGGATATATTGGTACATGTTATTTGTGCTTATTAGCAGTGTTATTTATTTATCAGTGTTCAGAAGACAGAAAAAAGTCAACTATATTTTCATAGGATTCATAATTATTATTATTTATTTTTATTTTTTTTAGTGAATGAATGAACGGATGAATGAATGAACAGACGAGATGGGAATTTCTGCAGTTTGGTTATGTGGCAGACCCATTGTGAAATGACTGATGGAACCTGTAATCCAGGAGAGTGCGGCTCAAATCCTGATGAAAAGCTGGGCAATGCTGTTTTATACATCAGAAAATCACCATGTTCTTTGTCAAGGCTGTCCACAAATGTAGTCTACGCCCTGGCTGACCATAATTAGAGAATCAATTAGAAAACCTTGAAACATGTTGGGATGATCCAAGTGCATTCAACAGATTTTCAAAGCTGCCAGAACCCAAATGAACCAATGGAAATATGTAGTTTGAGGTTGTTCAGTAAACATGGGTACTTGAACACCAGTGTTTCTTTGTGGCTTTTTATATAAGAGAACAAGATACCCAAACAGCCCATGTGCTTTCCAAAGAGCCATTGGATTTTTGTGAACTCAGGAAATGTATCTATGTGGTGTCCTTACATATGGCAGGGGAATTGAATTAGATGATCTTTAAGGTTCCTTCCAACTGAAACCATTCTGTGATTTTATGATTCTTCTAAACCTGTGCACTGCCAATACAGGAGTGAATTAATCAGACACAACTGGTGGTTCAGACAGACTTAGTGAAATGGCATGCTTGGGATTTCCAGATGCTTGCATCAGAAATGCATAGCTGAGTGGCCTTAAGTGAGCAGAAAAGAGCAGAAAGTTTAATTTGAGCCTGATAATCAGCTGCTGAGGGGATGATTCTCTAAAGGTTGAAATGAATCATCTGCATGCAGAGGGAAGGGATACTTCAAGTATCTTTCCCAGTGAGAAAACATGTTGGGATGTCAGTTTTCTTAATGTGGTATTTTATTTAGAGCTTTCAGAAATGAATGTAGGAAATCATAGAATCATGGAATGACTTGGGTTGGAAGGGACTTTAAAGATCACCCAGTTCCGCTCCCCCACCATGGGCAGGGATGCCACCCTGCACCAGAGATGCCACTAGATCAAGTTGCCCAGGGCCTCATCCAACCAGCCACCCTCTGAGTGAAGAAATAGCTTTTTATTTTTTAATATTTAGGCTTGTCTAGAAACATACAAAACATAAGCAAATATTTAATATGTGAATTGAACAATTGAGAAAAGCACATATGAAATCCGTCGTCTTAATACGAGGTGCAGAAATACCTGGTTGGCAAAAATACAGCTATGTGTAGTCCCAGAGAGTGTTCCATTTCACTCTGAGCCATTGTTCAGCTTCCTGTATAGAAAATGCCAACAATACAAGTGCTGAACTGTCATAAGGAGTAAAAACAAGAAATATTGTTTTGTGGATTTCATTTTCAGTCAATAGAATTAGGTAATATTTAGAAAAAAAAATGAACTCACGCAAGAATAGCGATAACAGCTAACAGGCTGCTAGACTGCTGATCGAATCCAAGTTTTATGACTTTTAGCAACACACAAAATGTGTAGCTATATTGCAGAGTTCCTATGTTCTGTCAGGTCACTTCTTATTCTTTCCAATTGACTGATGAACACCTCAATCTGACAGTAGGAATAAAGGAGCAGTCTTACTTGGTGATGGCACCTACATTATTATTATTATTTTTTTATTTTATTTTATTTTTTGAGACTGGGATCTAACCTGCAATAAGTTCTAGTAGTACCACTTAATTATTTTGATTTAAAAGTGCACTATTGTCTGAAATGTACAGAACAAAAATATTATACATGAATGATATGCTATTGTGTTTCTCAATCATAAAATAAAGTGATTCAACAAAACAGAAACGCAAGTGGCATTTCCTGTCTTGTTTGTCTGTTAAAGACAAATCATATACATAAATTGTGTTCAGAGTGAAGTCAGACTGGGAGATGATTTCCACCTTACTCTCTCAGGAAAGTTTGCTTTCTTGTACCTGTAAATTTGTGTGTATGACTTCTACTCAAATAGCTACTGATGTTTTGTTGTTTTTTTATTATTTCAGAAAATCTGAAATAAAGTGGGTAATATATATAAATATATTTGAATCATTAGCTTGCTTGAAAATATGCATAAGAAATCTATGAGCACATCTTATAACTGTTTTTTTAACTGTTTTTGTATATTAGTTTTTGCACTAAATGACAAAAAAGTGATGTTTTTCTATATTAACTTTTTGGTCCACCGTTTTTCTCTTCTCTTCTCACATTAAATTCCCTCAACTACCTCCCTTAATATCTGGGGAAGAAGGAGAGGAGAAGGGAGGGGTTGTAAGGGATGTCTGCATTTTCCCTTACAGAAGGTAAAGTTTTTCAGGCAATCAGAAGTTTCTTCTGAAATATCAGATGTTTGCTATTTGATGATGAGTTATGCTCACAATATAACATCGTTCTTTGAGCCACTTAAATAAGGTAGGAGAAGAACATTGTATCAGTTTATAATTTTAATCCCCTATGTCACAGGAAAACCAACTGTTTTGATTTAGATGGTAACAGGATGAAGAAAGAAACGGAATGCTAATTCCCCATATTCCAGACTAATGCCCCAAACACTGAAATGTTCCTTCTTCACATATAAAACCATAGTACAAGTAAATGTCATAAATGGACCAAAAAAAAAATAATGAAGTACTGTTTGAGGGGACTGCAAGTCTTAGCTCATCTACTGGACAGGAATTTGGTACAACTCAGGAACTTTGTAATAGCAAAAATACTACTAATACTACTACTAAATAAAAAAAAAAATCCTCAAACATGCAAAAGAGAACAAACAAAGTAATTAAAAAAGAACCCCTAGACTTCAAGACATAGAGATTCAAAGTGAAAATGGAGCTTTGAAATGAATTAGCAGCTGCCTTTTCTGCTATCCACACACAGTAAACAGAAATTTCTGCCATGCATATTCCTTATTTACAAACTTGTTGTATTAGCCTAAGCCCCATCACTGGAATAGATATTAGTTTCTATACAAATAAAAGGCAATGCTTATATATTCCCATTTTGTAATACTTTCAGAACAACCTCAATAGTCTACAGGATAATATATGACTTTTTGACCATTTAACACAGCTGCCTAAATCTGTTAAAACAGTTTTTTAATTCAATTTACTCTTCTGCAGAATTCAAGACCTCTCTTGCATGAGCTATGTGAGTCTTGTTACTTTATGTGAACTGTATCAGGTAATATCTAAGTGGCCAGACAACCCAATAGTTTAGCTTAGTTCTTTGTATTGTATTGTATTGTATTGTATTGTATTAGTGAAGTTGACTGCCTGATTTAACAAAGTTAAAATTCAAGTTATAAATATCACTTATTGACAATGTATTACCTTTGAAATGTGGAGACCTTTCTGAGATTTTAAACTTGATCATGTCCAGCACCCTGTAGAAAAGTTGTTGACTTAATGTCTTCTGATATTATTCTGATATTCTGATTGTCATATATATCTCCTTCTGTATTCTTTTTAGTTTTCAACAACCAAAACTGTAAACAATTCCTACATGGTTGTTTTTTTGTCAGTCTATCTATTATGTTTTAGTTATTCCTCAGATTTATACAGATTGCTATTGTGATTCCCATGGCTTAAATTTGTTTGTTGAGTAACTTCTGGGTATTCCCTTTCTCGGGAAAAGGGACTGTTTCTGTTTCATGACAGACAATCATTCCACTATTTACTTCTTAAAAATACTTGTCACTTCACTCAAAATCTGTGAATGAAATAGTCATATCATATTAGCTGCCTTCTCTGAATATTTATCCCAAATTGGATTACTGCAATGCCTTGCGTAAACGAACAATCTCGTTTTTTCTTGTTTTTTTTTTTTTTTTTTTTTTTTTTTAAACGAAAAAAAACATTCTTACTTTAAAGGAGGCAGATGGCAGTAGTACCAAATCCCAGAAGACTTCTGTATGCTGTCATGACTATAATCATTTCTGAGCCAAACAAATATTTAAGGAGTTTGAGAGATGTGCTCCTTTAGTATACTGTGAAGAAAAGAGTGAGAAAGTTACAGAAAACTCAAACGCTTTGAATCTCTGACCAAGCTTTGACTGAAAGAGGTAACCATTTCAAGTCAAATATGATCCATAGGATAAGCTAAAGTAGAGAAACCAATTAGTATTCTTCTCTTCTCTTCTCTTCTCTTCTCTTCTCTTCTCTTCTCTTCTCTTCTCTTCTCCTTCTCTCTTCTCTCTCTTCTCTTCTTTCGACTCTCTCTCTTCTCTTCTCTTCTCTCTCTTCTCTTCTCTTCTCTTCTCTTCTCTTCTCTTCTCTTCTCTTCTCTTCTCTTCTCTTCTCTTCTCTTCTCTTCTCTTCTCTTCTCTTCTCTTCTCTTCTCTTTATTCTTTTTTTTTTCTGTAACTCAGAAAATGGCTTTACAGTGAATGAACAGTCCAATTCTAAAGCATCAAAGATCCATTGAATTTAACAGTGCTATCTGCATTGAGATCTTTGTTTTGTTTGGTACCATATTTTTACATCTATAACAGTTTTCATTAGATTTTCCTCAATTTTTCTCTGCATTTCACGAATTTGGGTGGGTGTTATAGTGCCTATAAAACTTAAAAGCTTGTACTCGCATATTCAAATAAACCTCTCTATGAAGAGAGGTTTCATAAATCAGGCTCATAGAGGCTTATTTAGGCGGAAGGTATGATCTGCGAAAGTGGGACCCAGTTTTGCACTATATATACTATGCTAATTTTTAAGAGAGAGGAATTTCATTGCATTTGCAAGAAGATATAGGAAGAAGGCAGAAAAAACTCTACTTGTCCTTTTCCATGTAGTCCAATTTTTTGAGTTCAGTGGGGATAACTCTCATGTTAGTCCTTTTCCAGTATAGCAGTTAGGTCTCATTTTTATAGACAAATGAAATAGTGTTTGAAAGGGATTAAGGAAAAGATCAGTGTTAGCAATTTATGATAGGCAAAAGATGCATGGAAAATGATAAAGGAGGTATTGAGTCACAAAGATTAATTTGCAAATTTATATATCACCTTTAGGCGTAATCCAGAACAAACCAGATGCATCCCAAAACTAATATTATTAATCATAATCACAATCATCCTTTAGAAGATTAGACAGTAAGAGATATGGAAAAAAAAAAAAAAAAGGAAAAAAAAAAGGAAAAAAAAAGCTTGCTGCAGGTTGACTAGCTAAATAAATTGTTTTGCAATTTATTGCTCTGAGCAAAAGGCAGCATAAAATACCTTTTCCAGATGACATTTATTTGTGAATAACTGTGTAGCTAAGTTTGATCTAGAGTGGCTTAGTTGCATTTTGGATTGTTTATTCCTGTTTTCTGGTGGTTGCTCTGAGTAATCCCTCCATAAACTAATCTCCCCTTCTTCCCTAATTTACTATTTTAATATTTAGTGCTTAAAATC